CCCCAAATGTCCCCAAATGGCCCCAAATGTCCCCAAATGGCCCCAAATGGCCCCAATTGTCCCCAAATGGCCCCAAATGTCCCCAAATGTCCAAATGTCCCCAAATTTGTCCCCGAGTGTCCCCAAATCCTCCCCAGCTCCCCCCCCTCTCCCCTCAGAGCTGCCCCCCTCTCCCCTCACTCTCCCCCCGGTCCCCCCCGGCCGTTCCTCACCGCCCCGCAGTGGAAGTCGGGTCCCCATCGGTCGAGGACGGTCCTGGGGCTGCTCCCGCGGGTCCCCACCAGGGTCACGGCGATGGCGTCGCTGGTACCGGCGGCGGGAGCGGTGCCGGTGCGAACCCGCACCCGGTACGCGGCCATGGCGGCGGCTGCGCGCTGACTGACACGGGGCGGAGCCAATCGCTGAGAGCCTCACGCGCCCTCCAGCCAATCAGAGCGCGGCGCGTTAAGGCTCCACCAATCACAGCGCGGGGAGGAGGAAAGAGGCGGAGATACGACGCCACTTCCGCCTTCACTTCCGGCGCAGCTTCCGGGTGCGATGGACCCCGAGTTCGACGATGTGGTGGCGGTGGAGGACCTGATGGTGAGGCCACGCCCCTCGGGGGGCTGGACACGCCCCTTTTCCACAGCCACGCCCACCCCCGTGCACCCCCCGACTATCGCGACATGCCCTTTGCACCCCGCCCGCGACCCCCACCCCGACATGGCCACGCCCCTTTCGTCGCGTGGCCACGCCTCCATTGTTCTTTGGCCACGCCCCCCTCCGGGACCCCCCGGGGTCTTTGTCCCGCCCCCGATGCCCCGCCCATTTCTTGTGGCCCCGCCCACCCGGGAAGCCCCGCCCCCAGGGGCCCTCCCAGTGCTCCCAGTAAGCGCCCAGTAACCCCCCTGTGCCTCCCCAGTGCTCCCAGTATAGTCCCAGTGCCTCCCAGTATCCTCCCAGTATTCCCAGTAAGCGCCCAGTAACCCCCCTGTGCCTCTCCAGTGTTCCCAGTATCCTCCCAGTACTCCCAGTGCTCCCAGTGATCCCAGTAAGCGCCCAGTAACCCCCTTGTACCTTCCCAGTGCTCCCAGTGCTCCCCCAGTGCTCCCAGTAAGCACCCAGCAACTCCCCTGTGCCTTCCCAGTGCCTCCCAGTGCTCCCAGTGGGCACCCAGCAACTCCCCTGTGCCTTCCCAGTGCCTCCCAGTGCTCCTCCAGTTCCTCCCAGTGCTCCTCCAGTTCCTCCCAGTGCCTCCCAATGCTTCCCCAGTGCTCCCCCAGTGCTCCCAGTAACACCCATGTGCCCTCCTAGTGCTCCCAGTAAGCGCCCAGTAACCCCCTTGTGCATTCCCAGTATGTCCCAGTATCTCCCAGTGCTCCCAGTGCACGCAGCCTGTCCCCATTTTCCTCCCAGTGCTCCCAGTACCCCCCCCACAGTGCTCCCAGTATCTCCCGAGCCACTCCCAGTGCTCCCAGTGCCTC